ATTCTCCTGCCTCAGCCTCCCAAGTAGCTGGGACTACAGGCGCGCACCACCATGCCCAGCTAATTTTTGTATTTTTAGTAGAGATGGGGTTTCACCTTGTTGACCAGGATGGTCTCGATCTCTTGACTTCGTGATCCACCCGTCTCGGCCTCGCAAAGTGCTGGGATTATAGGCGTGAGCCACCACACTTGGCTTATTATTTCTTATATTTGAGTACTTTTTTCTGGACTGAATCTTTATTCTGTTATATCTTTCCTTGTAGTTCTTTTGGTAAGATTTTTTTGGTGGTAAATTCTTTCCATTTGTGTTAGTTTGAAAATGTCTTTCACACCTTCCCTGTAGGATAGATTTGTTGGATATAAAGTTCTGGGTAGTCAAGTATTTTCTTTCAGTTCTTTGTAGGTAATATTCGACTGAGTTTTGGCTTCTGTTTTTGCTATAGAAAAGCTCCCCCTCCCCCGCTTTTTTTGGTTAGTTACTCTGGTGTGAGTAATTCATTTCTTTTGGTGCTTTTTCAGGTCCTGAGATGGGTCTAGCCGTGAATTTCTATTTACCCATTCAGCCTAGGATTTATTGTGCTCTCTACCTCTTAGAGCTCAAGTCTACCATCAGCTTTGGAAAATCTCTAGCTATTATTTCTTCAAATATTGCTTATTTTCTCATATTCTCTTCTTTTTCCTTCTAAAACACCTGTTACGGTATATTGGACATCAAATGCTATCCTCTGTGTTTCCTAAGCACTCTTATATTTTGGTCATTTTGATCTTCTAGATATTTTCCTTAGCTTTATATTCAAGTCCATTCATTATTCATTTAGCTATGTCTTGTTTGATGCTAAACCGATCTAACAAGACTTCTAAAAATTTTAATGTCTTTATAATGTTTATTTCTAGTCCTCGTTGGTTTGTTTTAAATCTTCCTACTCTTTTTTGATAGTAACTTGTTCCTGTGTCAAATTTTTATTTTTTGTGCTTAATAATTTAAAAAAGTAGCCTACATTTATCATTTCAATTATTTTAATTTTCATGAAGCTATTTCTATTAATTGTTGCTGCTTCTGATATTTTCTCATGGTGTTTTATTGTTCACTTGTGTGCCTCATAATTTTGATTATAAGCTTATTTTTGCTGAGGATTTTTAAATTTTCCTTTTTTAAAAAACATATTTATTTTAAAATTATACTTCAAGTTCTGGGGTACATGTGCAGAACGTGCAGGTTTGTTACATAGGTATACATGTGCCATGTTGGATTGCTGCATCCATCAGCCTGTCATCTGCATTAGGTATTTCTCCTAATGCTATCTCTCCCCTATCTCCACCCCTTGCTATCCCTCTTCTAGCTCCCCCCACCCACCCTCGCTAGGCCCCAGTGTGTGATATTCCCTTCCCTGTGTCCATGTGTTCTAATTGTTCAACACCCACTTATAAGTGAGAACATGCAGTGTTTTGTCCACTGGTTAATGTAGGGACTCACTGTGAGATGCATACATGGCTGGTGAGCATGCAGCAGCCAGTCTGCCAGCTTGGGTTAGGGCTCCTTTGGAGGCAGTATACTTGGCCGGCAAGCATGGGGCTTGGCTCACCAACTCAAGGCAAAAGTCCCCTGAAAAGGCCATGTCCAGCTGGGAGCCAACTGGTGGCATATGTGGACAGGTCTGCCAGCTCAGGTTGGGGCATCCTTAGAAGTAGTGCACCCAACTGTTAAGTGTACCAGGGGCACGCAGGGGCTGGTCCACTGGTTTGGGTGGGGCTCCCTTTAGAATGGTGCTGTTGGCTGATGAGCATGCTGACTGTGCATGAGGCCAGTATGGACTTGATCTCTCTGCTGAGGAAGATTGTCTGTTCCTTTTGAAGGCAAGGTGCTCTGTGGGCTCCAAGGATGGGGCATTGGATCTAGGCTCTGAAACACAGGGTTCAGGGTGTTGCAGTCACTAGGATGTGAAAGGTGGAACACCTCCTATGCAGCCTATTTCCAGGGGGTAGGGAGCTATAGCCACTCAGCAAGGGAATGGTGTACTACCGTGAGAGTGAAGGTAGTGTAATGGCAACGTAGCCTCAGGAATGAAAAGAGACCGTGGCCACTGGCTCCTGAAACAGGAGATACTCTATTTGTGGCTCTGGTTTTAAAATGGCATCATATAGCTGCAACTTGGGTCACAGGGGTGAGGGAATACAACATGGGCTCCTTCTCTGGGGGTAGTGTAGCCACGCGGCTGTCAGGCAGCTTCCCAAACTGGACTCAGGGCCTGTAGGAACTGCAGGATTCTCAGCAACAAAGAGTGCAGGTGTCTGCAACATTAATGGGGGCTGTTGGGGCCTCTTGCTTGCGCAGTCCCCACCGAGGATGCGTTTCCTTGTTCTGAGCTAATCCCAGCTGGGAAGATGGTAGTGTGGCAGAGGCAGGGTGTTTCATTCTCTTCGCCGTGTGACCCTCCCTAAAGGTCCCCCTGTCCCACAGACTTTTTGTCTCTCCCCTGAGGAAGAGTGCCCTCCCTCAAACACTCCAGTCCGCTCCCTCAAACACTCCAGTCCAAACGTACCTTCTTTTCTGTTGTTTTGGCCCTTTTTGGTGGGAAGTATGGGCATTCAGCTTCTCTAGTCAGCTCTCTCCCTTTGCCCTGGCTGGGCTTTTCTATGGAAATCTGTGAGGAATAAGCTAAGAATACGTGCATCAGAAAGTTTTTGCCTTTGTTTCTGTAAAGTATCGTAGGACCTGGTTACCAACCTTGTATTACTTTTTATGTTAATTACTTCACTTGGTGTTTCTGAATTTTTGAATTCTGAGGTTTCTCAGCTTTAAATACTAAAGAGCGCCTTTTTGTTTATGCCATAAGAAGGCCAGACTTAGACAGATGAATTTCTCAGCATCGTCCTATTTTAGTAGGCAGATTTATTTTTGTAGTTTGCTTTTTTACTGAAGGTATTGCCTTTGAAGGTACTCTCTTTATGTAAGGTCTCAGTTCCAAGATGTGGCTCCGGCAAGATCAGGCTTTGTCTCTAGTTCTTGTATTACCATTACAATATCTTTAATTTTCTGGTTTTATGCCTTTTAGTCTCTTTTTATTAACCCCTGGGATTTCCTTTATTTTTAAAGCTCTGCTTTGCACGATGTTTTATATTCTACACAGTATAACTGGTTTTGTAGTGGGAGGTTTTTCAGGTTATCTAGTCTGCCATATTACGTAAGTTCTTTGTAGGAATGCACAAATGTATACATGCAGAGAATATACCTTTTAAACTTGAAAAATCTTTTCTATCATAAAAACTTCATGTAAATTAAACAATTGTGAGGGAATTGTCAGTGGTTTAATACGTTGACAGATTGACACTGTGTGGAAAACAGCTGAGAATATTAGGGGTTGTTTTTATAATGCCACCTCAGGCTTTCATGTCAGATTCATAGAAGTGTGTTTAGTTAGTCATGTAGTGAACTGAGCATATAACTTTATCTGTTGGCCAAAAATATAGAACTTTTCCAGAATAAATTTCAGGAAAAAAATGTTTCATCTATTGTAGCAAAAATAGAAGAAAATAACAAACTTTGAAACATGTATAAACCGCTGTTCTGTAAGCCTCAATGATGTCCATTAGCAGCAGGATTATGCCGTACTCAAGGGTTATGATCACCAAAGGCGTATAAAGGAGTGCTCAGTTTTCTTAAATTCTTACTGTCATGGTGAACACAAAAATGCTGATGAAAATGAGATGCTAAATTATCATAGTAAGTTGTCCTAAAATGTAAGCAGTACCATAGAAATCAGCCCTCAGGAATATCACAATTGTATTTTTATAATGCAAAATACAGAACGAGTATTCTGCAAGCGAAATCCTTAGAAGAGACTTCTATACAAGAACAGAAAACCAAACACCACATGTTCTCACTCAGAAGTGTGTGTTGAACAATGAGAATACATGGGCACAGGAAGGGGAGCATCACACACCGGGGCCTGTCAGTGGGGTGGGGGCCTACGGGAGCGATAGCAGGGGGTGGGAGGGATGGCATTAGGTGAAATACCTAATGTAGATGAGGGGGTGATGGATGCAGCAAACCACCACGGCATGTCTGTACCTATGTAACAAACCTGCAGGTTTTGCACATGTACCCCAGAACTTAGAGTATAATAACAAAATTAAAAAGAGAAAAGACTACTAGTATGGAAACGAAATCAAATTCTTTCTTGGATTTCTTACTATGAAGATATTGAGAAAGCTTGTTGGTTTCTGTAACTGCCCTCAAATCTTACTTTCTTTTTTTTTTTTTAAATTTTTTATTGGATTTTAGGTTTTGGGGTACATGAGCAGAGCATGCAAGACAGTTGCGTAGGTACACACATGGCAGTGTGCTTTGCTTTCCTTTTCCCCTTCACCCACATTTGGCATTTCTCCCCAGGCTATCCCTCCCCATGAGGCTCACCTTGCTTGCCCACCCTCTTTAATACTACAATCTGCAATTCCCCATGACCCCCTCCTTACTGCCTGGTGTACCATTCTCCTTAGTCTGCTCCACTTTTTTTCCTGTAGCATTTAATGTCTTCTAATATATTAGACTATTTAACAGTTGATTATGTGTAGTGTTTTTTGTCTGTCTTCTCTCTCCAGAAAGTTAAAATCTACCAAGGGCAGGGACCTTGGTGTGTTTTGTTTACTATTATATCCCCAATGACTAGAGTAGTACCTGTCATATAGTATATGCTCAAAAATGATTCAGGGTGTGAGCAAATAAGTTTTTATTTACCTGCCTATAAATTAGGTTGATAATTCATGGCCCCTTACTTCTTTTTTGGGTACAAATTAGATATGCGTATGCCAAGTACTTGCCTAAAAGAAAGCTGACATTCATAGGATAACAGCAGTTATATTTGGGATATATTAAGTGACTTGGCCTTTAAATGTCTCAAAGTTTCCATCTTAAATCTAAGTCTATGGCAATTTTACTTACACAATGTCTCTTCTATAGCAACAGAACATGTATAACATTCAGAACTTGATTAAAGATCATACCTCATTTTTTTCTTTGAGTTTTGTGATCATAACAATCACAGGGCTGTCTTCCTGCCAAACCATCTGCCAGAAATCATCCACGGTGTTGATCATGGGGCCCTGCGTGGCAATGAATGCTTTCTCCTTGCCACTGTAGCCCTAGATGGAGTAGAGAGACAAAATTATTGGTTTTTAAGTTCATGCCTCGCAGTGAAAATTTAGGTGAAAGATCTTCAACAAAATAACTGTGCTAGTACAAAAGCAACATCGATTACAGCTTCATTGATTCTAGTACAATTTCCATAGCTATTTTGGTAGCAAGTTAAGGACAGCATACGGTATTGAGGATTGTAATGTCCAGTCCCCAGCAGAATGCCCAGATAGAGCAGTGCTGCCAGAGACTAACAGTAAAAGGAAAGTCATCGTAAAGGACCCATTACCCATGTTGGTTATGACTAAGATAAAAAGAAACAAACAAAATCTTGCTGGTAATCAAGTTAAGCCAAACTTAATCTACTCCAGGAAAAACAAAATAAAACCAACAATTCCAAATAGCAAGTCACCAGAAAGAAATCTGTACTAATTTACTTACCCTAATATAATTAGCATTAATGTAGGTGCTCAATGAATCAGTTACATTTTTTGGTCTTAAACACACTCTGCTGAGGGGATCTAATAAATGAAACAGGAAAGAATAAACAGATTTACTCTTTTTAAAGTATACGTATTAATAAATTATAGCATTTTTTTCTCAATTTAGAGTTCTTTCCAACAACAAAATCATTATTTTCCTGTAGAGGAAGTAACAGTAAGTAGAAACCTGTTATGCATTGATCATCTGGTGCATGTCAATGTTTGTCTTTGGTGTCCATCGCTTGATCCCTATGTGTTTAATGACAGATATTGGGCCCATCTCGATTCCTGACCATAAGCCTGAGACGATTTTATATTTTATGCCATTTCTTGTGTGTGCCGGTTCTCGACCTTATTTCTCATTTATGCTCCTGCTCTTATACTTTGGAGTTGGAGTTTATACCAGGTCTCCTGACTCCCTGTCTCTCTCCTTTCCCTATGGAGGTAAGTCAGGCTACACTTTACCAATGATACATATTTTACTATCTCATCTCATCTAGACTCTCAGGTCCCATAATATCTGACCATTATGTCCTGGACAGATCTCCAGATCTTCCGAGATGGATGAGATTAATCTGTCATGTGCTATCTGTATGAAGATAGGCAAAGGGGAAGAGGGAGGTTGGAAAGATAAATGTGATTCATTTCAAGGCTGGATGTAGTGGTTCATGCTATAATCTCAGCACTTTGGGAGGCTGAGGCAGGAGGATCCCTTGAGTCCAGGAGTTCAAGACCAGCCTAGGCAACATAGTGAAACCTCATCTTAAAAAAAAAAAAAATTAGCCAGGCATGGTGGCTCATGTCTGTGATCCCAGCTACTTAGGAGGCTGAGAGGTATGAGAATTGCTTGAATCTGAGAGGTCGAGTTTGCAGTGAGCTGAGATCCTGCCACTGCACTCCAGCCTGGACAACAGAAGGAAACTCTGTGTCACAAAAACAAACACAAAACAAAAGAAAAAACTATAATGCATTTCAGTGAGTTTTCAGTCTGTTCATAAACTAACAAACAACATATATTTATTGTTTACTAGATGTCAGACTCTATTCTCAATGCTTTACAGCTATTATGTCCATTAATTTTCATGTCACTTTAATAAAAGTACCTAAGACAATTCACCGTTTTTCAGACAGGAAACTGAGATAGGTTAAATGTCACCCTAGGGTACACAGCCAAGAAGTGGGTGATGAAATCAGGCTTGGAATCCACACTAACACTAGAGTACCCCAGCAACCATGCTGTGCAAAGACGGCCATGTAAACTGACAATTACAATACATAGTGTTATATCCTAGTGGTTGCTTAGTTGCGTTCTTGAAAAACAGCAAATTCGAAGCTTTTCAGCTTCCCTTCTCAGTGGAATGTGGTGAAAATACAGGGATGTAGCAAAGAAAAACCTCCCATTCCCATTTTTTTTAAGTAAAACATAGTCATTGAACATCTTCTGGGTAAACACAATCTCTTACAATCACCACCAAAACTGAGAAAATCAAAGAGGAAGTGAGGTAGGAAGTACCAGAGGAAGAAAGTTTCACAGCATATACATAAGTGGGAGTTAAAAATAATTAAAAATTAAGGACTTGGCAAGCTAACATTTGTTTTAAATTTCACTTTACATATAAGTGAGGTTAAAGATAATAAAGATCATAATGAGTTTCAGAAAAAGACTAACCAGCCCATGAGGACAGTGATGGTTTAAAACTGTAGTCACCCAATTATCTGACACTCCTTCTAAAAGAATGTAGAGACAAATTCCCCTTATCCTGAATGTGGGTAGAAATTAAAGACTTGCCTCCAATAAATAGAATATGGCAGAAAGGATGGTGTGTGACTAGGTCATAAAGGTATTACAGTTTCCTCTTTGCTATCTTTCTTGAGTTGCTTGATCTGGAGGAAGCTAGTGGCCAAATTTTGAGGGCACTCAAGCAGCCCAATGAAGAGAGAACCACACCGTGGGGAACTGAGGCCTCCAGCTAACAGAATATGAATGAGCCCTCTTGGAGGCAGATCCCTCAGTGCCAGCCAAACCTTCAACCGACTGAAGGTGTGGCCAACAACTCAATTTAAATCTCATGAAAGACCTTGAGCCAGACACCAAACTAAGCCATTCCCCAGTTCCCGGCACACAGGAATTGTGAGATATAAATGTGTATTGTTTTAAGCCACTAAAATTTGGGGTAAACTGTTCCACAGCAATAAATAGGTATATATGGTCCAATAAGGAGTCAGTCACAAAACTCTGGAGTGACATAATTATCACCGTTATTGTCACTGTACTTATTGTTGGCTCCTATATGTGTCAGATAGAGCAACTAATAGCATTTTATGTATTATGTCACTTAATCATTACTAGTCTATAAAAATGTACTGTTAATAGTGTCTTTATTTAGATTAGGAAATTACAACACACAGAGGTTAAGTAATTCACCCAAGGTCACATAGTAAGAGATGAAGCAGAGAGATGAAACCAAATTATCAAACTTAGAACTTAACAAGGCCATTAATTATCGAAGATGATGTTGAAAACATATAGAATTTTGCTCCTTTGTCACTAGGATATTTGAAATAAAGCAAATATATGTGTGTGTGTGTGTGTGTGTGTGTATATATATATATATATATATATATATATAAAACCAGTAATAGGAGCTTCTATCCAGGGACAAAGTAGATTTGAGTGATAAAGGATCTGGTTTTAGCAAGAGAAAGTTCCATTCTGCTTAAAGCTTTAGATTGACTTGTGAAGACCAAGATGCTTATCTGATCTTATAAGCCACAGGTAAAATAGTTCCTGATCATGCCATATGGAAGCAATAGAAATCTAGGGGATGTCAATAAATTCTGGAAATCAGTGTGAAGAGCTTTAGGTGGCATCCAAAAATCCTGTTCCTAGAGGCAAGCTTTCATTCTGTTTGAACCAAAACATGTTGCAAAAGACTCTAGCATGTCCTTTTAGATGACCTAAAAGAAGTAATGGTGGCTACAGAGGTACTTACAGTGGAATAGGTAAGGACTGTGTGAATCAGGATATAACCTGACTGTGAACAAGGAATTGTGGTCCTATGCTCATCAGCATGGAAATCTTTTGGGACATGGGCCTTGAACTTATCAAAATTCCTCCTGAAGAGATATGTTGGGGTTACTGGTACTAAAACAAACTACACTCTTCAGAGCATCCTGGAAACAATTCCAATCTCAGTCTTGTCCTTCGGAGCTTTCAAAATGTAGACACTATGGAGACAGAAGCTAGCACCAAACTTTCAAAAGCATGTCATTTTCCCCTAAATCTCCTAGAGCCTTAATAGATGTACTTCTACATTTCCCACAGTTGTTGGTCAGGGGCAGACTGACCCTCACTTGCATGAGCCATTTTCAATAAAAACCTTGTATCTTATTTTGTATTTGTAATGTTGTATTCATTTTTTAGAGGGCTTCCAGGGCAAAACTCCACAACACTGATATGGGTAAAAATTTCTTGGATCTGACCCTGAAAGCACAATCAGAGCAAAAATAGACACATGGGATTGCATCAGACTAAAAAGCTTCTGCACAGCAAATCCACAGATTGGGAGAAAATATTTGCAAGTCATACATAAGAAGGGAATAATATCCAAAATGTATCAGGAACTCAAACTACTAGATAACAACACATAGTTCTATAAAAAATGGACAAAGATTTGAATAGATGTTTCTGAAAACAAGGCATAAAAATGGCCAATAGATCTATGAAAAAATGTTCCACATCTTGAATTATCAGAGAAATGCAAATTAAAACCACAATATCACTTCATATCTGTTAGAATGGCTACTATAAAAAAGACAAAAATAGTATTATTATAAAATCAGTTCTGCCTAGGGAGGCATTAATAGAGCAGGTACATTCTGAACACCTAGGGTTTGCATATATTCAGAAGTCAAATTTAGGGTTTTTAGAGTTGGAATTTGTGTGTCCAATAATTATCATGTTCTATAAAAAACAACATTTTAGCAACATAACAAAAAGTAATCATCATCGTAGTCTAAAACTAAGCCCTCATGTCCCATAACATTGCCGTTAGAACACACACAGTGATTAGGTCAACCTGGATAGCCCTAAATTGCTTATTGCACTGATTTCCTTTCTCCTGACCTATAACAAACAGCTGACCTGGACAGAAGTGTTTTTCACTATTTGGAAGAAGCTGTCTTTAGTTAGCCTATGTAGCAGTTTGTTCACTGACAGCAAAAATATCTGATATTGGTTAGATTTGTTTAGTGCCAGCAACATTGTCTTAAATTCTAAAATCACTTTCCATCAAGAGTTGAAAGACTCTTTGTGGACTAAAGTGTTAAGGAAAATATAAAAATTATTTTACCAACATTTGTACATATTATTATAACTAATTCATCTCTTTATGATTTCTTTGACCTGGTACACTCTGAGCTTTTTGAACATAGGAATGGGGATTTTTCACCATTTCTCTAAGACCTAGTATCTCACACAGCAGACCTTCAGAGAATGTCTACTGCACTGATTTAAAGATCCCTCCTATTTTTTAAAAAAGTTCAGTTCTATGTATCCTTCTATAGCAATTGTTCTATTGCTTTTCTTTCTGGACAGGCAAACTTCTGAAAGAGTTGATTATACCCACACTTTCTCCATGCTCATCTATAACTCAATCCTCCTCATGTACACTCTAATCTGTTCAGAGGCTGCCCTTGCTAAAGTCACCACTGACCCTTCTGTTGCTAAGCCCAGCTATCCCATTGCAGTATTTTTGTTCATGTCCTCTCTGAAGCATTCAAAAACTGTTGACTGTATGTTCTTTTTTTGAGTTTTCTCCTACCTTAGATTCTGGGACACAACGTTCTGGTTTTCCTGCTACCTCTGCAATGGCCTCTTTCCAATCTCCCACTCATTTAATCTGCCCCTTTTCATGTTGCTAATTCTAGGGTTCAATTCTCTTTCATCCTCACTCGATACTCCCTTGTTGAGTGACTCACTCATTCCTGTGACTTTATTACGCACATCCTGAGGGCTCTCAAATACCTACTTCAGACCA